AGAGCGTCAGTGTGGTTGAACAGAGACAGAAGTTAAAATCTTCACATCTGCACTAAGGAGAAGGAGGAGAAAACAAACAAACAAAAAACCAAAACAAAACAAACAAAAAGAGGCAGGATATGAAAGGTCTGCAAAACTGTTAGTGGGAGAGATGGATCTCTGTTTCTCTTACAGTATAACTTAGGGAATATAACCCTATCATCCAGTAGACCCTTGTCAGACCCTATGTGACTCCTCTTAAAGGGACAAGTTGCCAAATGCAGAATCTAACAGCTGTTTCTGGGGTCCCCAGAGATGACAATGGGTTTCCTGTTGGACATCCTTGCCCCTGGGGCCAAGATTGCCAATGGTATCTTGGGCTGCATTAGGAAGAGCAGAGACTTGGCAGCAGGTCAAGGGAGGTGATCCTCCCCTTCTCAGCCCTGGTCAGCCCACATCTGGAGTGCTGCAGCCTATTCTGGCCTCCCTAGTACAGGAGAGATGTGGAGCTACTGGAGTGATTCCAGAGAAAAGTTTCTAAGATGATTAAGTGCCTGGAGCGTGCCTCATATGAGGAAAAGTTGAGAGAGCTAGGCCTGTTCAGGCTGGAGAAGAAAAGACAGGGGCGTGGAGGAGAGTAACTTATCAATGTGTGTAAATACCTAAAGTAAACATGTGGGACCTGCTTCATGGATGAGAGTCAATGGGCACAAACTGAAATACGAGACACTCCACCTGAACATGATGAAGAACGTCTTTAATGTGAGCACTGGAAGACGTTGCCCAGAGAGACTGTGGAGTCTCCTTGCTTGGAGATGCTCAAAAGGTATATTGACATAGTCCTGGGCAATGTGCTGTAGGTGACCCTGCTTGATTAGGGGGATTGGGTAGATGATCTTTAAAAGTCCTTTCCAACCTCAACCATTCTGTCATTTCAGTGGAAAAAGTGTTAGTGACTCCTGAGACCGATCTCCACAGTTTGCTTCCTTATAGCGATATTAAATAGGCTTAAATTTCATTGAAATTTAGAAAATGTGTTTTTATGTTAGCCTGCAAGTTACCTCTGTGCTCCTAAAGGTATTTTTGTTAGTTGAATTAACTGCTTAGAGGCCCTCTCAAATATCCAGGTATATGGTTGCAGAGTGTCATATGTGTAACAAGTAAGATGCCCTTTCCATACAAATAAAAAGCTAAGTGGAACATCTTCCATTATGTTAATTTTGCTGATGTCAAACAAAACCAGATGGTAAGCAGTGATTGACTTAAATGCAGTGATAATGAAACCTCCTCTGAGGACTGCTATGTCTGCGTTGGTGAAAGAGGTGAGGATTAGTGGGAATGTTTTTCACAGCAGCCACCTCCATCAGTGTTGCAGTGCGGGTGAAGATAAACTGAGCAGACTTTTCCTGGGAAAGTGAGCTAACAGCAGGCACTGTGTCTGGAATACACATTAGGCGTGATTAATTTTACTTTCTGTAAGGATTGATCTCATGAGCAGTGTTTAGAGAGCAGCTGTTGCTTGGACTTGGACCAAATTGGGAAACTGAAATGTGCTCTGGGATCTGGGCTGGTCTGACTAAAATACTTGATGTCGGATATGGGTCCTGTGTTTTTGATAACTTTGCATTATGTCTCTCAATTATGCACTGTATAGGATAGGATCTGAGATATGAAAAGGAAATTGGTTGCAAAGACATTAGTTTTTATGCTGTAAATGGACAAAATGAACACTAGTATGGCTTTTATACACCAAGCTCTGAATAAAACAGTGTCTCACTCTTGTCTCTGTCAAAGGCTTAAAAGTACTAAACACAGCCTGTGGAAGGACCTGTTTTTTTACTGGGTTTTCCATCTTGTTTTATTATTGTTATTATTATTATTAAGTCAAGAATATTAAAGTCTGCCTGCTGTTGCTTTTAGGAGTTGTTGAGATGTGGTGCAGTTCTCTAGTGTCATTCGGGCCTGTGATACGAGGTCACAGGACTAGCTCAGACCGGACAGTAATATATTATTTTGGTTTTAAGAGTCCCTCCTGTCTAGCAGTCATATGAGCTTTGTTTTTTATCTCTTGAACTGATTATTTATATGATAGATATATTTCTGTCTTTCCTGAGGATAAGTTTAAATACAGGATCCTCCTCTGTTGCAGTTCCTTGTTTGCTGTCTCAGGTTAGTAATAGGACAGTCCATTCACCTTTTCCCTTTGAACAGGATATATGCAAGTCTTATAACTCCTTGACCTAGTGCTGTTTCATATGTTTTTGGTCTGAACTGTGGCTTACAAATATATTAATGTACATTCCTTTTTCTTTTCCCCTCCCTCAGATAAACTATTAGTTTTTACTGTAGCAACTAAAGAAACAGATGGCTTTCATCGCTTCATGCAAACTGCAAAGCACTTCAACTATACAGTAAAGGTATTGTATATTTTAATACTGCTTACATCTTGCACGTGTCCCTGCTGGTGGCCCTGTGATAGATCTGCCAGTCCCTCTCTGAATGTGCCACTGCTCTTAAATTATGCTACAGCTTAAAGTTACTGTGAGGTTTTTTGTTTGTTTGTTTTCTTAATTGTAACAATTTCTGGATTTATTGTTTCATTGTTATCAGTTTTGCTATTTTTTCCCCTTTATTCCAAGCAGTCTTACATTCCTTTGCATCGTCAGTCATAGCTTCTGCCGTAAGTTATCACATGGCCTTGCTTTTCAGGGCACCTTATTTGTTTGAGTAGTTCTATGGGTGTCTCCATCAGCTGCATGGGCAGCCAAAAAGGCTCTGTATGGCCCCTCACTCCTTAAACAAGGCTGGATCCCTTTTGCGGTGGAGGGAGGATCCCAGAGCTAAAGAGCTCCGTTGTGTTTTCCAAGAACCTGTAATTCTCTGAGAGGACAAAGCATTTCAGTCACCCTTGCCTATCTTTTCTGCCTTGCTTCATGTCTACATATGACATGTCCTGAGATTGGCCTCTGTGTGACCTTGGGGAAAAGGGAAGGCCTTCACTCTCTTCTAAATTTTCCCACAAATTGATCGTGCAAGAAAAAAACAGGGTTTCACAGGTTGTATTACTCTTTCATTTATTTATTTATTTGCCATGTTTTAACAGCGTTAAAACTATAAATAAGAAAAAAAATGCTTCTAGTAATTTCATTTTAGAAACAATTTAGGTTTCTGTAGTTTTGTTTCTGCCACTGAACTTGGAAGATCAAGAAGTGAACCTTTTCTAACATTAATGCTCTATTAACCCCCCAGAAGCCTCTAGCTTCAGCTATTAGCTAATATTGGCAAATTTGTCCAAAACACCATATAATGCTAACTCTTCCAGGTTTTAGAAGTTACCTCCCCACCCCAAAAGTATATTCTTTAAAAGCCCAAATGCTGCAAAAGTTTAAGGACTTTTTTCCTTTTTAGAAATGTGATTCCCTGTAGTACTTGGCTAGGGAAGAATTTTGTTTGTTTTTTAGCAGACTACTGTAATTTGGGGAACCCATTTTTGGAGAGATTTCAGAAAGGACTAGGCTTTGCAATTTTTGTTTTGTTTTTTAAATATACTCTTTCTTCGTGCTCTCTTACGCCTCCTGTTCTTAAAATCACTAGGTTGACTGTTAAATGCTTCATTCAGTATGTTTCTGTGTGCTAGAAATTTGGAAACAATTACTCACATTTTTTCCTTTTTTGAAGTAAGACATGTTTGAGTAAGTGCTGGTCAAAGGCAATCTCTCGATTCTTATTTGGTTAAGAAATGTCTCTCTCATGTTTCTGAAATGATGTCATGGTGCTGAATACCGCTTCAGACATGGAAAACTTAAGATGTTGGAAATGCTGGCTTGCTGTGCTTTAATGTGCTGCTTCAGCTTTAACATCTGTTTTCAATAAGGGTCAGCTTTAAAAAGCCTCTTGCTTTTTTGGGTACCAGAAAAAGTGTGTTTTTTTTTTTTTTTTTTGGTAGGCTCTCAAAAGTAGCTGCTGTAACATGCTGAAAGTTGCATGCTGGTTTTCTTCCTCTCTGAGAGTTTGCTTCCATTCTTGAAAATATTAGATTGCACTTGAAGCAATTGTAATTTTGTTATATATAAAAGCTGCAAGGTGAGGGTGTTTGTTCCTGCAACAACAGTGTTAGAGGAGCTAGGAAACCAGCTCAGGGTTGTCAGCAAGATCTTCCACCTACCAATAAGCAGACGTGGGCACAGCCCTAGGCAGTGAGGAGGACCTTCTTGAGCTGGTCACGTGCAGGGGTGCAGACTGGCACCAGAGGCTGCCAGCTCGGCGGGTTGCCTGCGCAGCTTGCTCGGATCTCTGTGGCACGTCTCTCTGGAGCATGTGCTCCCGCAGTTTGGTTTCCCTCTTAACCTACCTGCTCGTTTTCTTGTTTTTAGATCCTGTTCTGTGTAGGACTAGGTAGAACAGAGCTACTGCGGGTAGGGTTTGGTAGAATTCATTAGCAAATTTCGTTAAAAGGTAGAGTGTGCTCTTACAGTGGTATTTACTGAAGCGTACTTACTGAAGTGGTATTTACTGAATTCGTGTTTGCAGATTTATTTTCCTGACTTCTCACTCTTTTCTCCCTAAATGGACAAATATGAAAATCAGTTATCAGTTTGGCGATAGTTCAAATTCCTCCAAAATTCTGCTTGGTAGAACAGGTTGTTCTATCCAAGCACAGGCTGATGCGGATGGATGACAGAGTGCAGGGGACAGTGTGTGCTGTAACAAAGATGACACACTCCATCAGGCTGAAGCGCTGCTTGTCATAAAAATCCCAAGATTTAGCCTCACGAGTTCTCCAGGATCATAATCCCCAGCATATTTTGATTTAAAGCTAATGGAACCGATTCCCCAAGAAAAAGAAAAAAGTTAGTGTGAGTCTAACAATATGCTTTATTTCTAATGAGCATTTTCATTTCCAATAATCCTGGTTTGTAAATGTGATGCTCATCAAAACAGCAAAGATTTATCTCTTTCAAGTGTTTTTCATTATATTCATTGTGAATCATTTGGAATAGTAAATTGAATAAAAGGAAATGTCTTATTTACTTGCTGTAACTAGTCAAGTCATTTACAATTAACTGTTTACTTAAATTTGCTTCTTACTGTCTTTTTTTTTTTTTAGCAATATTTTTATAGGGCTAACAATTATGGGAATAGTTGGAGATAATTCATTTTTTCATGAGCAGTTTCTTATTGATGTGCAGACAGCAAATGCTACTTGCCAGCCAATGGAATAGTATTTAAATAAGATTCACTTTTGGGAAGCTAACTACTGGTTTACCTCAGACCATTTCAGATTGAACGGGTTGATAAGCAGTATATGAAGTACTGATGGTCAGTATAGACAACACTAAAATGGTTGATGCTGTAACTGCTCATCCAAAATGCCCATGACAGCCTATTTGTATCTCCCACCAGACTTGACATCTCTCAATATTTTTTTTGTTCTTATTTTTTAATATTTGCCAGAAAATTCAGCATAGTTACATTCCCTACATATCCCTTCAGCATTTTAAGATGATCCTGGTTCAAAATGGTCACGTGGCCCAATAGTCCACGTAAATATTATAAGATCTGGGACCCAGCTAAACCCTTGCTTGTTTGCATTTTGAGCTCTTTCTGCTATTTTAGCTGTGTGTACTAAATGCTGTCACTCAAAGCTGTGAGTGCAGATTTTGCCCATTTGATTCTAGGGGATCTAAACCACTGTCATGATCCCTGAGCACTGGTAGGGGACAGAAGATGGGGCTATCTCCTTGCCATAGTGAAGGGATGGGGATGGGCAGGTTCCAGCCCGGAACATCTGCAACCTCAGAGCTGCAGGAAATGGAGTTGTGGAAACTTCCCTTTTTTTTGCCTTTTGCTTTTTTATTTATTTTTCATAATCCCTTCTGATTAAGCATTTGAGCTTTTACAGCTTGCAAAGACCTGCCTACCTTTTGTTGGGTATATCGCTTCTTTAACTCCATCATAAAATTCTGAAGCCGCCTTCAAAATTAAGACCCAGCACATTAAGGGCATAACTTGAAGCCCATTTTGCAATGTTCTCAGAAGCATAGCCCTGAGGTGGACCTTCCCTTACTGCAGAGATTCCCTGCTACCTATAGCACATAATGTGAAGTAGCAGGTAAGCAAGGCAAATGATGAACTTTCAGGGTTTGCTTGGCCCTAGAAGTGGTACTGTTGCCCACGGAGACAAGCAGCTCAGGAGCTGAGCGAGTGAGGAGCAGGAAGCTAGAAGAGATCCTGCCCACTTGCCCATGTGAGCACCAAGCCTGCTGGTCACCTCTTTACAGAGTAGGGCCATGGCAGTTAGTAGAGAGCTTAGATTCATGGTGGATTTATACTCCTGCAAGGTATCCTCTAGTAGGGTTTAAAATAGTTGTCCGTGCAGTTTAGCTACTCTGAAGTGACCTCTGCACAGTGATTTCTATTAAAATCTGTCCTGTGTCCTTGTCTCTTCGGCAAGCAGAGCCTGTGGCTAGCCCAGCACGTTGCTCAACTTTGGCTTTCTCTTCCAGAATGACAGTCTCTGGGAAGCGGTGTTCCAGGGGATTTGGGTTCCTTCCTGCAGCTGTAAGTCTGTGCAGCAGCAGCAGCGCAAGCTTGATCAAAGAGGCGAGCAGCCTGCCATCAGCTATTAGGTTAAACCTCAGACAAATCCCCATTTTTGTCAGCCGTCTTCTGCTTGTCTCCTGGTTCTTGCTTGTTCTTAAGGCACCTTCTGGCTTTCGGTCAGGCTGCCCCAATTTGAATGGAAAAGCGAGGGAATTTTATTTTTGTATATCTGGGCAGAAACTGTCAGTTCTTGCAGAACTGGAGACACTCCAAAATGTACAGTATTTTTTCTTTCATAAGTTCAGCTGCCAAAGTTACAGAAAAACAAAACAGTGAAAGTTTTCAGAAACCCACTTACTTTATATAGACTGCATAACAAACTTCCTCTGCAGAGTTCATACTGTGCTCTGTGGTGGAAGTCTTCCCTTTCACATTCATGAGCCAGCTGTTCTCCAGTTCTCGCAGGCCAAAGGCATGAAGTGCCCTTTGAAGAAAGGGCGTTTTAAGTGAATTCAGAACTGAAATGAGGAAGTATTGGAAGTCAGTAAGGGTTTGGTCTCTTGATGCTTTTGCTGAGTAATACATTGCTCTAGAAGCTGTGCTCGCTGTAGAGGTACTGCAGGGGAAGGTGCTCTGGGCACTACGGTTAGAACAGAATCCTCGCCAGAGAAGGAAAGTTTGGCCTGTTAAATCTGTAGGTATAACCAAGGGTTTTGCAGGTGTAGTATTCCTGTTGCAGGACAGCCCTGTTTCAGGATTGGCAATTTTCTTAGACTTGAGTACAAAAACTGGAACCTCATATAGGAACATTTAAATTTTTTATACTCGCTTTGAGGTTTTTAGATATAGTTTGATAACATGAAGCCACTAAGTTTGTGATATTACATTCTTACATGACGTTTGCCAAACCCCTGTGTGTATGTGCTTCCATTTTGGGAGAGTGCTGATATTCAGCTTTGCATTGAAGAGAAATTATGGATTAGAGATGAGCCCTCCATCTTCAGGTCTTCACCCTTATCTGGGGCTGGGAGTCAAACCTGATGAACGCGTAAATGCAGAGGAAGATTTTGTGAGGTGCCTTCTGGGGTCTCTAGCAGATTAAAGAGGGCGAAGCAGAACTCCATGTGTTGGGAGAATGCCACAGACCTGAAATTTGTGAATAAGTACACTTTATTGAGAAATATCTAAGTACATAGTCAATATGACTTTTCAGAAGCAAGTCTGTACCACTGTGGTTTGGAACAAGGTCATCTGGAATTTCCCAGTGAGAGGCACCAAAATAGTTTTTCAGCCCTGCTGTGTTTCATCTATTAGGGTTTTTTGTTGGTGTTTAAATACATAAACACTTTCATAAAAGGGATAATACATCAAAATACATGAAACCTAAAAATCAACCGGACCCAAAAAAATATGAAGGAAAAACTGCTTAAAATGTGGAAGGTTCAGGCAAATTAATGTAAAGGGGAGAAATCATCTTCCATATCTGCATTTCATGCTGAAAATCTGAATAATGTAGCCATTTCTTTGAATACAAAAGTGTTAAACTAATCTAATGGGTATCTTTTCTTTATTTTCAGCTATGATGTTATCTTTGCGGGGGGCCCTGAAGAATTGCTAAAGAAATTTCAGGAAGCTAATCATAAAGTTGTGTTTGCAGCAGATGGACTGATTTGGCCAGATAAAAGGCTAGCTGACAAGTATCCTTTTGTCCGGAGTGGAAAACGATTCCTGAACTCAGGAGGCAAGTGTGACTCTTGGACACTCATTCTTGAAGTGAAACTCTTGAACTTAGACACATCTGTTATCTGGTTTTATTTTTTTTTTATTTTATTTTTGTATTTTTGTGTGTAATTGTTCTTGAACTCCTTAAGTATAAAATTGAGGATTGGTTTGGTGGGTTTTTCTGTTATTTTCTCTCCATAGCTGCTCTTCCATGCTTCCGAATACATGTGCACAGGAGTGTTTATTGGCAATAACACCGTGGAAAGCACGCGTGTCACGTACAGCGAAGGGCCTGACTCAGCCATGTAATGAAGTGCGGCGCAGGGATGGGTCACCCCCTTGCCACCAGCTGAATCTGTTGCAGAAACAATCCCGGCATGCAAGCCTTGTCTGCAAATTAAGTGCTATTTATAGGCACAGTTCATTAGCAGGACACGGAATTTCCTAACTTGGCCACATTGTTCTTGGGATCTCCGCACGCAGGCAATGTAGATAAGCTAGTTGTATATGCTATGCTGTCTCACTTGTTAGCATAGCTTGAGGAGTTATTTCCAAGAGCAAAGTGTGAATTAACTCCCATTAATCTTGATGTAGTGTTAATTCTGGAGTACCTGGTTCCTTAAGTGCCAGATTTGTTACTGATTTTGCATCTGATTAATACTTGTATCCATCCACGCTGTTTCCCTGTTTGAGAGCGGGACATAGCTTTTCCTGTGAGTTCTGGGTACACGATCCCTGGCACTGTGCAGGTCTGGGAATGTGCATGTTTCTTTCCCCCCTCTTCCCTCATCAATCCTCCTTGTCTTTTCTGTTTTGGCATAAATGTGACATATATCAGGTTTGAGCTGAATTCCATTTATGAGTCTGGCAATATTAGATTTCTTACTTCTCTGCCAGCAGAAAACGATTAATGAAAATGATTTTTTTTTTCTCTCCTCCCTCTCTCTCTCTCCCATAGGTGGACAATTTCATGGTTTGGAGTTTGCAGGACCATCCCAAACATGTGTTCCTACTTTTTTCCTTAAATTCCCTTAAAATAGCATTAGTACTAGAAGTATAGAAGAATAGAAGTAATTCTTAATTTTGAGCTCTTTAAAACATAAATAATACATATCACTCCCAGAAAATGGAATTTTGGAGTCAAGTTGCATGAATTTTACTTTTGCTTTGTTGGTGGTTGGAATGGAGTCCCTAACTGGTGGAACAGTGTTGGCAGAGTACTACTTTTTATGGAAATAACTTGTGTGTGTGATTGCAGGATTTATTGGTTATGCTCCATATATAAATCGTATTGTACAGCAGTGGAACCTGCAGGATAATGATGATGACCAGCTGTTTTATACCAAAATCTATGTTGACCCCCTGGCAAGGGTAGGTAGTGGCTTGCTTTCTCATTTCTGTCTGCTTAAGCAACATGTTGCTCTTCATAAAACATCAGAAGGTAAAAGCAAAAGCAGTGCAGTCTCCTCCTTCCTGCCTGCCTTGCTGATAGATGCGCTTGTCCTCCAGAGGTTCCTACTGCCACAGTGATGAACCGGTCTCTGAGGGGTCATGACTTGAAATATTATTCCGGACTGTCTGCAGATCCAGGCAGGTTGTGCTTCGCTGTTAGAAATAACAACTCTGAGGTATATGATCAGACACATTCATCTCCATGAGCGTGCCATGTGCGCTGCAGTCTGACAGCCAGAGAACGTGGCAGTTTTCCAGGGCGCCCAAGAACTTTTTGCCAATCCAGTGTTTTATATTTTGGCTTGCTGCCCTTTCAGATTCTGCCTGAAGCTGCCTCTAACTGCTCAGACTTCTATGCCGATGGGCTCAATAAGACCACGTTGTAAATTTTCAGTGGAGGCATCTCTGTGCTCTAGCTTAACGTGCAGAGTAGCAGGGAGGTGCGCGATAAAGCGCAGTGAGTGACAGAAGCACAGCCCTGATGCCTAGGAAAGGGCTAAAGGTGTTAACAACTATTGATGCAACAACAACTGGCTTTAGAAGCTGATCTTGTAGATTTTTGAGGTTTACTGTGAGCACTTGTGTGCTTAAGGGAGGTGTGGAGTCTGCGAGGTACATACAGGTTTAATAAAGTGTGCCTGAAACATGGGGCACATTCAGATCCAGGTACAGAGACATTTGCATCGGCATTATGGAAGCTAAGCCAGGTCCTAGATAGGCGGTTGCAAGGGCATGGTGCAAAGACTCTACACCTGATGCTGCACTGAAGTCAAAAATAATATAATGAGCCATCTAAGTGGAGAATATTCTGGACTGACAAAAATTTTATATCTACACAGTGCTGCAAAATGTCTACGTAGCTCTCGTTTTAGTACCCTGATACTTATATGGTAATATCCAGAATTGTAGAATGTGTAAGGAAATCTTGAAAGAACAAAATAAAGTATGTTATCTACCTATGATTTTTTTAAAAAATGTGTATATATATACACTATATATTTTGATAGGCATCTTAAAACTTTGGCAGAACAGATTAAACTATATAAGAATGTAAGTAGGATTAGGCATAATTTAGTACAAGGAACATGTTTTAGTCTCTGGTGATTTATATTTTACCCTGATAGGTAGATTCAGTTTTTATATTTTTGAAACCCTGAAATGAGGTGCATTTTGTTTTAAAAACTGTCAGTATGCTTTGTTATTTTGCCAAGTTTTTTAATTCTTTCTGTATTTATTTATTTAAAGATAAATCATGGAGATTTTTGTTGACTAACACTGCCAAACTGCAGTTTCTTTGGAAAGTCATGACCTGTGTCCTTCAAGCTTAGAATAGTGTGTGTTCTTTTTATTGTTTTTTTTTTTTTTTTTTTCTAGTTATAAAACCTGCTTGCAGGTTTCACTATACAGCTGAACTGGAGAGAAATTTAGAAACATTTGAATAATTCGTATGCATAAAATTATGAATTGTATCTAAAATGATGCAAAATAACATAATTCTGCTTGATTACTTGCTGTCCCTGCAGTATAACTTTTTGTATTGCAATAAAGTCATTGGCTTTTACAATCCTTCACCATCTTTGCTACTTTTATTTCAGGAACGTATTAACATTACTTTGGATCACAAATGTGCAATTTTCCAGACTCTAAATGGAGCTGTAGGTAAGTGTATCATTTGCATGTTTTGTGTTTTATTACCCATTTTTGCCTCAACAAATATGCTTGCTTGCTTTTTTTTTTTTTTTTTTAAATCTTCATATGGGCAAAAATGATGAGCAGATTAATAAAAGTTATTTGGGGTTAATGTTAAACAGTCTTTTATTTATGAGTGAAATACTCAGAAAACTAAATGAAATTAGGAATAAAGAACCATCTTTCCATCTTCCTTTCACAAATATGATTATGGGAATACGGATGGCTATGAAATTGTATTTTAGATGCAAGCAAGCAGCTATATATAATGAAACGAGAAGGAAGAAAAAATGCAGAATTTTCTTTATTTAATGGTCATGAATTTAAATGGAAAAAGCTTCCTCTCTGTATTTTTACAAATACCCTTCCTTACCTTTAATCTTCAATTTCTTTAATCTTCAATTATAGCTCAAAGTCATATTTAGATCAGATCTCAATAAATATTCTTTTGCAAGATTAATTTTATGTTTTCTAAGCAGGTTTTCTTCAAATATTAAAGGATACTCATGGTAAACTTTGAAGTTTCATGTAACCTTTTTTGGCCTAAAAAGTTAGATTAGAATTCAAGAATTATTTAAATACATAAAAGGGTAAGTAACAATTAGTAATAGCAGCAATAGTGCATATTATTGTTTCAACAAGAGATTAGAGAAATCTGAAATTTTAGCTTTTGCCTATGAAACTGTACCTTTGACTACTGTACAATTCTGTTTGATTTGCAGATGAAGTTCACTTGAAATTCGAAGAAGGAAAAGTAAGAGCTAGGAATTCCATATATGAGACATTACCAATCACCGTTCATGGAAATGGTCCAACTAAAGTGAGTGACTGTTTTTTTTGTTTGTTTGTTTTTCGTGCAAAGACTGCCATTTTAGTAACAGCAAAAACAGGGGACAAGCTTGAAACAATCTTGGCCATCATTGCTTATTTCTAATTGGTGCTGAGAAGAATTGCAAGGATAAACCATTCCTAGAGGTTTTGGATGGTCAATAAACCATCCTCACATTAATTTGATATTGATCCTGAAAGCTCATTCTGCTCCCAAATTAATTGTAGCATTGGGCCTTAGAAGCAAATAAGATTATATTCATTTTGTTTGCCGTCCCAAAGCCATTCATGAAACCATACTGAAGAATGTCTCTTTGGTTATGAAATGCTAAGCAGAAAAGTAGAGTTTTAAGGGGAGAGAGATTTAACTAGAGTTACAGAAATGTATCCAATCCACCATAGACCTCATAAAGTATATATATATTGCTGGCTTGTATCGTTGAATCTTCAGTGCCTTTGATCACTGCCTGCTGAGTTCCCATGGTTCCCTAACTCCAGGACCACAGCGGAGCTCAGTCTGCCCTGTGAAATTGTTGGTTTGGCAGCTTTGCTCCATTTAGAAGGACCTGTCTGTGTCAGTGGTCTGAAGGACCTGGCACGGTCCCTATGGGAGGAAGAATGGCCATATTTTGGCTATGTGGCAGTTGTGCTTTTTGTCCTATGGCCAAGTGGTGTCACGGCGTCCCGTTCTTGATGGCCTCCGTTTGCCACCAGCCACCGCCGCTCTGAGTTCTTCTGAGTGCATCTTCCTTGTGGTACGTTGTGCTCTCCAGAAAAGCTTAGTCGAGCTAAGTATGCAACTTGTATCACCATCCCAGCAACTGCTGATTCTTAGCTATTTGCACTGTATTTCATCTTCTGAATCTGTGAACGTGCTGCTGTTGTAATTTGTTTGCGTTATAATTACTCAGCAGTTGTGAATTATATGAGAAATTTATTCTGTGCTGCATCAATGTATTTGGCTCAATTTGAATACCAAATTAGTTATCATCATTGGCTTTGCTGACTTTTTGCCAGTGAAAAGAAAGGTACTTGGATTAGTGGTTTATGTTGAAACTCCTTATACTAATCCACAAGCAATACTGCCTTAAACAAAAGTGTTTTAGGCATGTAGTTGATGTTACTCTACCATGACCCTTCACCTGGGCCATAAAACTGAAAGACTCCTAAAAACAGAGGAGATGCTTGCTACATATCACTCTGCGTGTTTGTGCTTGGATTCTTCTCTTTTAAACATGAGCTTTAGTTAAGAGGAAATTAATGTAAAGAGATTGAAGAAAGTTTTCACTAATTAGTAAATAAACTAGTGCTAATGTAACTTCCAAAATCAACTCTAAATTTTTGTGTTTTACAAAACAGGAGGTTCTTATAATAATCTCTTGAATTTACAGATTAATAAGTTATATTAATCAGAACCCTTTTTTGAGAAGGGATACCAAATTATATGATGTGTAGTAGTTCCCTCTCACCCCTTCTCTCAGGCAGACTTTCCCCAGACTTTCCCTCTCTCTTAAACATTGAAAAAGGCAAGAAGAGTCAAGTTCTGCACAACCCAGGAGGACATGGCAGCCCAGGCAGGCCATCAACTAAAAAAGTAGTACATATCTTGTTCAGTGCCAATTGCAAGTCTGTTAAGAAGTTAGATGCTCTTTTAAAGCACACCCTGCTGTTTTGTCAAGAAAGGCCAAGATTCAGAAGCCAAGTAAAAGCTTGTGTCCAGTCGGCTTTGTCATCTGGATATATATCTTCCATGTTTTCTATGGGCCTTTCATATGGCTGCTCTTCTATTTTCTGTGTAAAGTATTCGTGGTTCTCAAATTCAGGAAGAGAATTAAAATATGTTGCTTTTTTTTTTTTTTTTTTGGCTTGAAATCATGAAGAACAGCTTGCAGGAATTGGGGGACCTATAGATGGTGCTTTGGAAGCCAAACAGGCATTTAGTTGGTGATTTTTAATCCTTTCAGCAATTGTTTACGTGAAGTGGAGCCAAGCTGAATATCCTCTATATTGTATAAACAAAAGGAAGAGAAAGCTTTTACCTCCTGCTTTTATGTTTGTTTTCTTTTAGATAAGAAGATAGTACAGTCAATTACATTTAGGTGTAAGGGATTTCAGAGGTTTAGACTAACTTCCTTAAAGATACAAATCAGCATTTGCATTCACTTTTCATTAGTCTTAATTGTTCATTTGATTACCAGATTCACTTGAATTATTTGGGAAACTATATCCCAAATGCTTGGACCCGGGAAACTGGATGCAATATTTGTGATGTTGATTTGCTAGACCTATCAACAGTAAAGGTAAGAAATCCCTCTTAGTATAACAAAACCTTTTTGAATGGTATGTATCTTTTTAACAGGTATATAGTGATTTCTGAGTCAAAATGACTGCAGAATGTAATGTTAGGCTTCATATAAACCTCAGGACATATCATTTTTCTGGTATGTGAAATTTTAATTTACTGGAAGAATAGTTTCAGAAAAATTCCATACTGACTGCATTTTGGTATAGGTTACCATTCGTCATTATTAAGCATACCCTAAAGAGTCCTCCTTTCCTATTTCTATTGCCTGAGGTTCAATGGATTTTTTTATGCAAGATTCCGATAAGTAAGTTGAATTTCTGGGAAGCATAAAAACTCTTTAAGCACTGTAGTCTTTTAGTGAAGATTTATACAAGAATAGAATATGTATCAATTTAATAGTCTATTTTACAAATAAAGATGAGCAGTTACCTACTCATTTATTATTCCTGAAGGGGCTAGAGGAATAGTCACAGTACTTAAAATTTTTACTACTTTCACTTCAAAGGGTGATAGAGATCTGTATTGTTGAACGTATATGGGGACATCTACCTGTATCATAGATCTGATGTAGTAATTGTGATCTGAAATGAGCTCACAACACACAGAGTTTGCATAGCACAAATGTACACAGACACACTTGTGTGTGTATGCATGCATCCAATTTTTAGGAATTAATTTTTGCTCTTTGGTTCCAAGTATAACACTTCCCTTGTACTCAGTAAAAACTGAAAAATATTTAAGGACATTTTAGGCAGGATATATGCAAAGATCTACAGTGTAAAAAAGTATAGGACTTGTACTTAAAGTTTTTCAGAAATTGCTTGCAGCAGCTGTATATTTTGTTTCTGTTCTGTAGTGAGGATAGAAGAGGAAGGCTTAAGGGTCGTGAGAAGTGGGGATAGCTTGAAAGAACTGGTAGTTTATGATCCCTGTGACTAAAGAACAAAACGAAAGACTTGCTGGACAATAAGCAACTCATGGACTTGGATATAAAATCAAAAAGGTGTTGCTGGAATTGTAATCACTTTCAGCTTTTTATATGTGTTTTTCTTTTTAATTATTGTTTTGCTTTATAAGTGCATTCTACTGGAATTATGGGTGTTTGCAGTCCTAAGTCTAACTTAAAAGTGTTGTTTCCTAACTGTGTGGGCAATTAAAACATGATTGGGACATAGTTAAAATTAAAAATGAGAAGTAACTAGCAGTGATTTCCTGGAGAGCTTCCTGTAGTTTGAGCACATCTTTTTGGAAGTTATCTTCCTTTACTATAATTCATTCTTTGGGCTTCATACCTTACTTATTCTGCCAGAAGGAATAGTGAGACTTTTTCTTGGCTTCTGTGGAAGTTTTTACTTTTGGCTTTTCTGAGTGCAAGTGATATTTCACTTTCTGAACACACTTTCTGTTCAGGCCTGGCCAGTTGCTACTTAAAACGAAATCTTTCGTAAGAAGAGCAATACCAGCTGTGAGTCTTTACCATGCTCCTGTCTGCACGGTTTTATTTAGCTGTTGGCACTGATGTGCTCCTATCTCGGGAGGTGTTTGTAGGAGTTTATTTGTTTGTTTTTATAAGGAAGTAGAGAATCAACTCGGTCGATGCCAGCTGCATCATAGGGTTTCAGCTGCTTTAGAGGAATTCTAGCATGAACTGACATGATGAGTTCAGGTGTTGCTGTCACAATATAGGTCATACCAGCCGCTGAAGTAAGTGATACAAAGCCATTAGACTCTAGTGCAGAACAAGTAGATGAAACCGGTGATTTGCAGCAAGGGCTTAGGCAAATCCTGCCTCTATGCTGGCCGGGAGCTGGTGCGTGCGAGGCAGAAGTGCTGGAAGAGGCGCCGTGGTTTCCTGCAAGCTGATGGACGAGCAGCAAAGCCAAACGCATGGCCAGGGGCTTGCTGGGGAAGCACGCACAGTTACTGCAGGTAACCTTTCTTCTGGAAAGGTTTCTGCCCAAGCTAAACTGGGAAGAAACAAAATCACAGATCTGATATAGTCAAAATACTGAATATTAAAATAATACATTCTGGCCTAGATTCAGACTGCAATGACAGCTTTTTATCTAGCGAACCAAGGTCTAGACTCATGAATTCTCTGCTTTGAAAAGAAATAATGTGAGAGCAGTAGGAATTTGTACTCTGATATTTTAAACACCATTTTACAGTCACACCCCTGAGCTTTTAGTCTACAATGTTGAAAGTCATAGCCAAACAATTCATTCCTATGTATGAAAGGAGTATTAGTAATTCCCAATTTCTGCCATAACCTTTGCAGTTCTGATCTGAACAGGGTTTCCCACCCCCCCCTCCCCCCCCCCGGAAAATATGGGGACCAAGGACATAGAATTTGGAATGATATTAACTGCAGTTTGATTATTGGTAGCACATGGATGTTTATTAAGGTTCATGGTGCACACTGCTTTTTCTGATCTCCCTCATTGCAATGAAGGGTATCAGTTACCATGACCCTAGTCTCAGGGGAGTAATTTCCTGAGAATATTAGAGTTAGTTTTTTAAAGAAAATACAGTGCACATGTTATCTTCAACTGCTTTGAAATTATTAGCCTGCCTTCATGAATGCACATTAAATTTGGAGTTTAAATTGTGACTAGGCGGTAGTCTGGGTAAACATTGGTGCTTAATGTTTCCTTTCTGGTATATTTGCCAATATGTTTTTGGATTTCCTATGTAGACACTGACTTTGTGAAATTTCGACATATTCTGATCTTTTATCCAGACAATTTTTGAGTGTCTTTTGACTTGCTTAGGGAAAACTAACTTGAGATCTTTAGCTCACTAAAAGAGTCTTAGAGAGAAAGAAACAGGAGATGTTTATATTAACTGTCTGTTTAAAAGCTGTGAGAAACTAGTTTTGTTTAACCAGGACATTTCTTTGCGTGTGTGAATAGAGGCCTTTGAAGATTAAATTTCTTCATCTCCAGCAATGTAATAGTATATTTTAGGAACACATACAAACCTAGACAGCTAGGTTTAACCAGTGCTCACATGGATTAGAAAATGTAATTAAAAAGAGAACAAATATGATTTATAACCCATATAATGACCTCTTCTCACCACCTTATCATCTATTTTTATTGATCCAATATAGTACTTTTTGTAAACTTGTAAACTAGTATGCAATGTGGCTGCTACTGCTACCATTTGTCTGGAGCAAGAAGTTACCATCCTTATCCAGTACTACTTAGCACTGTTTAATCTTGAAAATTGGCTTGAAGGTGGATAAAATTTCACTGTCCTCGGGCGCAAGGGGGATCAGCTGGTATGCAAGCAGGGCAGAACCCAGTCGGTTACAGAGAGAGGGGGAGGTAGTGTATATGAAAGTAAATGCAAGGTATAGCAATCTTGCTTAAAGTACAATTGAAGAATATTTGTGGCATTTATTAACTGCATATATATACATATGTGTATATATATATATGGAGAGAACAAGAACTTAAAATCCTTCTGTATGTTAGTGAAATTTAGAGAGAGTTCTCACAACATTAAATGTATCATCTTTATAAAGTCAACCAGAGGATACAAATATGGGGGTAACACTTTTGGGTTAGTCTGGTCTGTGCGTATGTTTGAAAGCTCTGTGACCTCGTAATTCTACTGAAAAGCAACTGTTTTCCTGGTGCGATAATCTCAGAAAGGAGGCAGATGTTATTGGTTGTGTCAAAATAACTTTTTATTTATTTATTTATTTATTTCAAGGAATATCCAAGAGTAAAAATCGGTGTTTTCATTGAACAACCCACCCCTTTCCTACCCAAATTTTTAGACAGACTGTTGACTCTGGACTACCCAAAGGAGGCACTCAGTATCTTCATTCATAATAATGTAAGTATTATCTGCCTATTGTGCAAAGCTTCATTTTTAGAAATTATGATATGAACAAATGTGTGTGTGTGGGGGGGAAGTGTAAGGAAGGAAGTATACCACATACAAGTTTAAATTGCATTGAAAGGGCTTATTTTTCATAATGCAGTATGCAGAAGTAGAAAAAAACGAGCAATTTTATCAATGCAGAACAAAGCTGAATGAAATTAAAGTAATGCTTGCTGTATAAACAGACTGTTTATACAAACTGTTTCCACTGGTGAGAGGCTGTATTTTAAAGTGTATGCTTCTGGGAAAAGTATAAGTTGACATCAAACAGTAATTGAAACAGGGTTTGCTTTTCATCTTGTTGAGACTCTAGTGCCTTTTCCTTTCTCCTGGTGCTCCTGCTGAGTGCCATGGCTTAGGGTAGTGAGTCCGTGTATGTTTTGAATGGCAGCACAGCGGTGATCATGATTTCATGATTTTCTTTTTTTTCTGGAAATTTTTGAAGTTTTTTTTTTCTTTTTTCTTTTCTTTTTTTTTTCTCCTTACCTGCCCTGTGACTTCAGCAGCCCTGCTAATATAGGTGAGGTTACAGATTGGTGCAGATGTTTGAACGACTGAGATATAAGAGAAATGGCAGGAAAATATTATAATACTGTCCCTTCTTTTTAAGTGCACACAGTGCCGTTTCTATCATAGACCTACACATTTGAATACATTTGAACATTTTTTTTTTTTTTGAGATTTCAGTCTGGTTTTATGAGAGGAGGATGAGAAGGAAGGCATTATCAGAACATCTGGGGAGCCTTTCCTCACTAGTCTGGAGACACTGCCTTGATTTATACTGCTTAAGTGTTTGATTCTTTTGCTAAAATTTTGGGTGGAAGAGCTTTTAGTGATAGATGTCCTAAAATGCCAGCAAATGCTGTTTGCCATCTGTTTGTTTAGAATAGGACACAGTTTGTGCTTGGATGCTATGTTTCGCAGCAATTTGTACTTTTCATTTACTCTAAACAATGTTAACATGATTACAGGAGGTTTACCATGAAAAGCACATCAAGAAATTTTGGGAAAAAGCCAAGAACATTATCAGAAATATAAAAATTGTTGGACCTGAAGAAAATCTGAGTCAAGCAGAAGCCAGGAACATGGGAATGTAATTTCTAATTTCTAAGTCCTTTATAACAATGCACATGCTAACTTTTTCTTTTTTTAATCCTTAATATGTATTATTTTTCATTTTAAATACTAACAGTTTTGCATCTTGAAATACAGTTATGGGGACTTTGGTGGAGCGAGAAAGCACTGATAGTACTGTTGAATGTTTTATGGTTTCTGTCCAATATAGAAAACTGTTTGAAAACACTTTTTTTCTCTGGTTTGGTCTATGCCAATGGTCTGTCACTTGGCCTTCTGATGAAGGCCCAGGCTGGCATTAAGTATAATGATCGTCAAGACCTCTGTCATGAGCATAAATTCCCTAAAATTGAAGTTGTTTTTTTTAAGAGCACTATGCAAATAAAACATGGTACAACACACCAAATTTTATCACAGTTTGTGCAGTACTTACACGTAGCATATGGGTGGAGGCTGTTGTAAATAGAAATTCTGATTACAGCATATTCTTGAAAAGCGCATTTGGTGTTATTTTTGTATTCCAAATATTTTCCAGATCAGTGTTCACAGAATGGTTTCTTAGTACAAAAGCACATCTTGTATTCAGTATGCATTTAACACCTGCACATTCTTGTCCTAACTATCCCTCTCCTCTCCTTCTGTTTCCTTGTTTTAAACATAAAATAAAAGTATAGGTACAACTGGATCTGAGCATACAGGTAACATAATTATGCTGCTTTATGGGGTTCAAAGAGACAGGGGTCTCCTTTAGATGTCGTTTAGCAGAAGCTTCTGCTTACCAGAAAGAAGTTGAAAAGGCAAACTGATTTCATCCGGATGGTCAGTCTCACTCTCTTCCTTCCACCAGGAGAGAGCTGCTCTTTCTCTATCCACTTGGCACTCACTTGACTCAACCCCTGCATACACGTTCTTGCTCACTGAGGGGTTTCTTCAAGGACTCACAGCTCTTCTAGGGTGTCCGTCAACAAGATTATTGGGTTGTACAAACCCAGTTTTGCCATGACCCTTGGGCAGCCTTAATTCCCAGACAATTCTTTCATTATTCTTTTCTCTCTTGTCTTCCACCAGTGATGGAACAGAGAGGTTAATGTAAGAAGCCTCATTTCTTTCTTAATCTGAGGCTGAGAATGCAATGTAGGCTGCTAAGCGCATCAACTGAAAGAATGAAGAATTAGTCCTGAGTCTTTGTGATATTCTTGGAAATTTGTTTGAATGGCGTTTTGTTTTGCTGAAGCCACTGGAAAACTTGTATTTGGATGAGGTCCAAGCCTCTCCCAAAGCTTTTCTAGGAAACATTACAGATGTCTAGCGTAGGAGTGTGAGGGTCCATTCAGATGTTTATGAAGCATTCTGTCTTTGTCTAGAGCAAGCACATACCATGTTTGCAAACTTTCTGAAGTAGTGTGTGCTTTATGTAGCTGAGGTAGAATTTCCAGAGTTGTTGTCTTCTCCCTTTGAGCTTTGCTATATGGACACCATAAGGCAGAACTTTCAGTGTGACCTATCTTGTTGTTCTATTTTTATTGTGTCTATATGTTTCTATTTCTTCCTTCATTTAGTCTTCTATTTTTCTACTTCTTCATTTCAGTATAATGGAATTGTATTGCATCTCACTCAAAAAGCTTTCAAGTTGTTTCCTCTTCTAATAGAACCTACCTGTTTTATAACATGATGAAGGCTTTTGATGAGATATATTTTCTTCCCAATATGTGGCTATTAATAGTAATTTATATGTATATTTACGTAGAATTTTTTCAAATTCTGCTGTGTAAGAGAGGAAGATAAGTTATGCTTGTGTAAGACAGGGTAATCAACCATACTTGTGATATGTACCAATGTACAACTGTGTTTGTGATGGTATGGATATAATTTGAGTTGTGTTGCTTCTGTTTTGGAGAGCCTCTTATTTAGAGGCT